CTCTTCCGGGCCCACAAAAGTGTCCTCGCCGCCACCAGCCACTACTTCAAGTCCCTTGTCCTCCATGACAACCTCATCCACCTCGACTCTGATATGGTGGATCCAATTGTTTTCCAGCAAATTCTGGATTTCATTTACACCGGCAAGTTGGCTGATGAGACCTTTGAGGGTGTGGATTTAAGCTCTCTGCTCACCACAGCTAACTTTCTCCAGCTCAATGACCTCGCAAACCTGTGCTCCAGTAAGATCAACCAAAATGGGTCCCTCAGTAGCGTGGCTCGTGGAAGCTCCAAATCTTCAGTTCGCCTGTACGAAGACCACTCATCAGACACTGAAACATACACGTGTATGACGCCTCCCAAAAAACGTCATAATGCTGAAAGTAGATTTCAGAGAAAAAAGCAGGACTTGGGGTTGGATTTGTCTAAGAAAACTTCAGTCAATGACGAGGTTCTTCTATCCAGAAACATCTCCAAAAATATGCAGCTGGGAATAAATGGGAAGTGTGTTCCAAAGGAAGAAAAGTGGATAATTCCTTTGGAAGGAGCTCAGGAAAGAAAAAGGGAGGGATCCCGAAGAAAATCCAAGGTCAATGGTTACATTCCTCTGAGCAGGGCTGGAAGTCAAGTAAGCCAGAATCAGACCTTCACTCTACAGTTATCTGTGAAGAAAGAGAAAGGAATTGGAGGGCAGACAGATGAAATTGATGGCCAAAAACCAAACAATGGCAGCACCAATTTTGTTTATCAAAAGGAGACCTTTCTCAAAGAAGCTGAAGGGGACAACCCTTACGTTTGTATCCCATGTGAAAAGGGTTTTCCCTCCTCTGAGAGTCTTAAATCCCATGTGGAAAGCCATTTGGATGAAGATGTGGATGTGAAGGTTGAGGATGAAGAGGAAGAGGAACGTGACGGAGACCCTGGAGTCACCAGAGTCTCGCCAGAAGCTCCCGAGAGCCTGGAGCAGAGTCCGTTAAAGTCCCTCAAAGATGTCGACACCGTGCGTCCCTTCCCTTGCAACATTTGCGGCAAGATGTTCACGCAGCGTGGCACTATGACCCGCCACATGCGCAGCCACCTCGGTCTAAAGCCATTTGCGTGTGAGGAGTGTGGCATGCGCTTCACCAGGCAGTACCGCCTCACTGAGCACATGCGTGTCCATTCAGGGGAGAAACCGTATAAGTGCCAGGTCTGTGGTGGGAAATTTACGCAACAAAGAAACCTCATTAGTCATATGCGGATGCATACCTCAGTATCTTAGAACAGGTACCCACAGTTCTCCATAGTGCTTTGGTTTGGGTTGGGTTATTTTAACTAGGGTTCAGTTTTTTAGAACACTATAAAGATTCCTCTAGGTCTTCTTTAGAGGGGTTCCCTTTTTGAGCTGCTGAAGGGTTTAGTTTCACCCACAAATCTTCTACAATTCTACAAAGAGTCATCTAGGTTAAAAAGGAAACCTCTCAAGTATAATCTAGGGCTCATGTGTCAAACTCCAGTCCTGGAAGGCCACTGTCCTGCAGAGTGTAGCTCCGAAACACCTGCCTGGAAGTTTCTAGTAATCCCGAAGACCTTGATTAGCTTGTTCTGGTGTGTTTAATTAGGGTTGGAGCTAAACTGTGCATGACAGTGGCTTTCCAGGAACTGAATTTGACACCCCTGACCTAGGGTACAATTTTGGCAACAAATCCTACGAAGATTCCTCTAGATTTTCTCCACAGAGTTTACTTATTGGGCTAATTTAAGGCTCAGTTCAGGCCACAACTCCTGTAGAATGCTACAGATATCTGCTAGATCTTCTCTACAGCGACTTCCTTTTTGAGCAGATCTTGGGTTCACTTTCACCCACAAATCCTTGGAAATTTGACAAAGACTCTTCTAGCTCAACATGGAAGCCTGTATAGATCTCTTCTCAAACTTTTGCTGGGGATCCTGCACCATTGCACATTTTCCCTCATCGGTCACACCCAATTCAAGTCTTGCAGTCTCTTCCGATGAGCTGATGAGTTGAATAAGGTGTTAGATGAGGAGGACAACCAAAATGTGCAGTGGTGGACAGGTTTGAGAAGCACTGATCAAGGTCAGGGATAGCCAAGCCTGCACCTGGAGGGCTACCTTCCTGCTGACTTCAGTTCCTACCCTGCTCCAGCACACTTGGGACACCTTGACTAGCTGGTTCAGGTGTGTTTAGTTAGCGCTGGAGCTAAACTCTGCAGGGTTCCTCCGATCCAGCCCTGGAGGCCCTGCAGTTTTATGCTCAAACACTGATCAAACTCACCTACATGTATCGCTGCAGACCTTGATTAGCTTCTTCAGGTCTCTTTGATTAGGGTTTTTAAACTCTATAAATCAGGGTTCCTGATTCGAATTCTGAAGATCTGTGGCCAAAACTAACCCTAATCCTCTAGTATTCTATAAAGATTAATTTAGATCTTCTATAAACACTCTACCTTTTGAGCTAACGTAGGATTCCGTTTGGATCACAAGTAATTTAGAATTCTCTAAAGAATCCTCTCCAAAACGGAACCCTAGATGATCTCAAAAAAGGAAACCCCTGTAGTCTATTCTAGGGTTCAGATTTGGCCACAGTTCCTCTAGAAATACATAAAGATTCATTTAGATCTTCTCTAAAGACTTTACCTTTTGAGGTTATCGAGGATTCCACTTGGATCACATTTAGAATTCTATGAACATTTTTCTAGATCTTCTCTATACTGATTTCACTGATTTTCGCTCATGAATTCTACAAAGATTCCTCTAGTTTAAAAGGAAACTTCTGTAGAGAAGATCCAAAGCATTCCATCTGTGGCATTCTTTCAAAACTAGACCATTTCGAAAAGGAAACCATTGTTGTTTAATCTAGTGTTCAGTAGGGTTCCTCTACAGAGTTGACTTTTTTAGCTAATCTAGAGTTCAGTTTCCCTCGCAAATCCTCTTGAATGCTATAAAGAATTATCTAGATCTCCGTAGAAGAATGGCGATGATTCCCTGATAAGCATAAAAATGCCAACTTCAGCCAATAGCTGCTGTTGTACCTTTCTTCATACCTTCTTATTCTTCTTGTGCATGAATTGTTTGTTATTGTTAGTGTGTAGCTAAAAAATATAAAGTTCATCCACTTAGCGATGTAGTTTGATTGATTAAAACGAAAATTACCTCAAATAGCTAGTAATCCTCTCAGACTGAAACAGCCGAATGTTCCTGGTGATACCAGTTATTTTACAGCAGTGACTTGCGATACCTCTCGAATGTAATTTAGGAGTCATGATAGAGTTTATGCTTCAGAAACAGACCGCTGTAATAAAGCTATCTGGGTTGTTTACTTGAATACACAAACTTGCTACCTCAGATTAAACCAAACCCTCTGATTCGCCTGTATGAGATTAAGACTACATATTAGAGAAGAGAAACTACACAGTGTCTTCCATATTACAGTCACTCTGTCTAGTTTAATTAATGAGCTTAAACGGCAGACATCTGATTCAGAACAGAGGAGAAAATACTGCCTGTGTCAGTATACACTTTTCAGGGGGTCAGGTAATACTTCACTGTAGGGTTGCGATCTGAGCTAGTGAAGTAGTATTGCTTGAGCAATTTGGGTGTTTTGATGTACAGTTCCAAAGAAATATTGAATGTTGAAATGCTTAAGAAATACTGTAAGCCTATAACCAAATCTATATTCTTGCTAAATATTTAAGTCTAATTTATGCTTCTTTCAATTCAGGTTTATATTAAGTCTTGCTCCTTTTTTTCAGGGTTTTTCTTTTTTGTTTTTTTTCTTTCTTTTTTTTCATTTCAATGCTTCAACCAATGGCTTAATTTATACAGCATGTTATTGTTATCCATATTTTCTTGTGGCATGTGCATTATTCTTATGAATTAAAAAAAAAGTTAGGTTTAGCAGATTGCATTCATGCATTTAGTGTTGAAACGAGACCAAAAGCGTAAAATCAAAACCTACTGTAAATATCTTAATGCAATTGACGTTATTTTTATCAGTTGATATATTACTGAAACTTGTTCAGAGATTGAATCATTTTCTTATTTTGTTTTAATTTCTTTACACCATGTTTGTTTTAAACTACCTCTGGTTGGGTATTTTGTACGTTGTTCATGGGTTTTCATCATGCTGGAGGGCTTTTTTAAACAATACCTAATGTTGAGGTTGTATTCATTTGTTTAGTAGCTGCTTGCCTGATCTAGTAATATCAAAAGAGGTACTTTAAATAATAGATCAACTAGCCTAAGATTTAATTAGCCGAATTGACTTTTCTGGCACTCTTTGGTCATGTAGTGCTTGCTTTTTTCTCTCTTTTTGCTTTATATTGAGATGATTATTTGACACTGTCTGTAAATCAATAGGATTCTAGAATATTCAGGAACTTTTTAATACATAATGGGACTTGAAACTGAGCTTCAAAACTGTGACAACACTTTCATTTGCATCCTCTGCAAACCTCAGGGAACATTTTAGGGACACGTCCCAGTTAACGTTTTGAACCATAAAGCGCCATTAACCGATGTTTTTGCAGCTATTTGTGTTTTTTTGATTTAGGTAGTTTAAATATTCTCCACAACTGACACAATGCGCCTTCAGGAGGTTCGGCAGCTCTTTGCATTTGCAGTACAGGGTTGTGTGTGTGTACTTGTACGGTTTTGATGTGGTTTTCAAATGCTTTTGGAATGTCAAGTACTTTGTTCAGAAATTATGATACTAAAGTATTTGCAAGCTGTTTATGAAAACCAAAGCACATTTTCACTCTGAAGAATTTAAGGTCCTATTGTATATAACATTGTTCTCAGTTATGACATGAAATAAAATTAAATCATAACATCTCCTTGACTCATTATTTGACAGGACTGCCAGAACGTTCACATTTTTACACAAAATTAGATGAGGGAAGATGCTGCCCTTAAAAACAATGTGCATTTTCTTTCATAATGCAACATATTTAGTTACAAGTTTAGCAAAGGGAAATTAATAGAAAAAATTGATAAATGCCCACTACCTAGGGTGGCTTAACTTTTACAGAATGTAAACATGACTTTTTAATATCATTCTTATTCATATATTTTCTAAAGTGTCATTAATGTAAAATACTAAATCAACTATTCTATTCAAAATTGTGTTCAAATTTAAAGATTTCATTCAGTTAGCATATAGGTTTGAATCAAAGCGAAGGTGTTTTACAGTAAGTATTACTTGCTGAGATGAGATTTAGTGCCATTTATGATTGAGAGAAAAAGAAAGGTGTGTGGATCATCTCGTCTTTTAAAAAAATAAAAAAATAGTCAGCAGTATACAGTATATACTGCACAGAATGCAGAACGTTTATCAAACAAAGCCACACACACGGAATGTACAAAAAGCTGTCACTGGGGCAGAACCTTTTCTCAAAAGGTACTAATATGTGTACCATTTTGGTACTAATATGACACAAATATGTACATTTAAGCTACTAAAATGCACACTTTAGGGGTGAATAAGGTGCAAATGGTTACCTCTTAAAAGGGTACCGTCCCTGTAGCTATAGTGCTTTCATGTTGTCCAGTAGGTGGCAGCAGGAATCCACACAACTAGGTGAAAGTCATCACCATTACTCGCTTTGTGAGCAGCTTTGTGAGATGCACTTTAAGGGAATTTTGGGAATACTTAAGGGTTAGAGTTTGGTGTAGTATTTGATATATTTCTTTGAATGCTTTCAGTTTAAGTGTAATTTTACACCCCAATTAATTGTAATAATAGCTATATACTGTATATATATATATATATATATATATATGTGTATATGAAGAGTTCAGATGCAAAAGCCTATATATATATATATATATATATATATATATAACT